GAGTAAATATATATATATATATATATATATATATATGAGGAGGGTTCAAACGATACCGGTGTAATTTTTACTAAATGTTACATTATTTAATAACTTTATATTAATTGTGAATTTTGTAAATCTAATCGTTAGATTGAAAATTCATATCACTTTATATGTGTATATCAAATTTTGTTAAAATTGAACAATTTAAAGGTGATCAACGTGTTCATAATTTAGTATATTTTAAAATGAATATATTACGTCAATTTTTTTTTTATAAGAATGAAGTATCAAATCATCTTGGATTAATATAAAAATTTGTATATATGATCTAAGTGATATGAACTTTCAATTTAACGGTTGGGTTTACAAAATTCGTATTTAATATAAAGTTATTGAGCAGTATAATACTTATTAAAAGTTACACCGGTATCGTTTGAATCTTCCTCATATATATATATATATATATATATATATATATATTTAGGGGTTATAATTACATTGGTATAACTTTTACCAAGTATTACACCGCTCAATAATTTTATATTAATTGTGAATTTTGGAAATCCAGCCATTAGATTAAAAGTTCATATATCTTAGATCATATATATAAAATTTTATATTAATCCAAGATGATTTGATACTTCATTTTTATAAAACAAAATTAACTTAATATATTCATTTCAAAATACACTAAAATATGAACACTTTGATTACCTTCAAGTTGTTCAATTTTAACAAAATTTGATATACATTTATAAAGTGATTATGAACTTCAATCTAACAGATGAATTTACAAAATTCATAATTAACATAAAATTATTGAGCGGTATAATACTTAATAAAAATTACACCGGTATAATTATAACCCCCTTATATATATATATATATATATGTAAACTCACCCATGTTGACTTCCCGGTAGTGAGCCTAAACTTGCGAATTTCAGATCTAAATGAAATGTGATGTATAACAAAACTAGAGAAATAAATAAACAGGAGATCAGGAATGGTTGATTTAGGTGGAATAAAGTACAGAACTTTATGTCCCTCGCACAGGTCCTATTTATTATCAACAATGAATTAGTTTAACGTGTAATATGAGGAACACTGTAGTGTTACTCACCCACACACTCCTGCAAGCGACATGGTAGATCTGGGTCCTCAACAAGATGTGAAGAAATAAAGTATAAACTATGATCACGAATGAAACCATTTATAGAAACAAAAATGAAATGGTGTTAATATCACCATTTTGTTCGTCACTTAAGACAACATATATTAGATGCACTTAATGAATCGAATGAATCTTCCAAAATCGTAAATCAGATATGTTGTGAATTAATTACATATCAAAAATAATGAAGCTATAATCTCCCATTATTTGAGTCACAGTCACAGACCCATATCCAAAATCTCAATTCATCCTGAAAGTAATCTCTGATCATCATGAATGACAGTATTTCACCAGAAAATCCCGGTGATGAAATTCATGTGCCCCTAGATTTCTGATTAGTGATCTGAGTGATGATCCCGGTGACATTACGGAGATGATACAGCTTCAATGGCACTGCCTAGGGGCCATGCTGCCTCAACAAGGGCATCATCGTATTTAACTTTCTTCACCAATGTTATCTCTTGCCATGGATATATGCCTGCCAAAAAAATTGAAGTAATGAGTGCTGGAAATAACACCATAATTCAGACTTAGTAGGAAGGTCATTATGACTATTCCAAAAGCGGAATAAAACCTACCAAAACCATCAACAAGTAGAGTATACTGGTATATAAGATCCATGCAAAGATAGGGAAGGTTCCCTTCCTCAACATGTGGATAAGTGGATTTGGCATTCTCAAGTTTTGTTTGACAAGCTTGCTTAGCTGCATCCTCAAAATCTGCAGGACGAACTATCGCAACTGGCGAGTTTGGATCAGCAAAACCAGCCTATGGATGAATAATGTGATTAGATCGGCAATGCAGTAGCATTTGAAGCAATGGCAATCAACACTCCTTCCAAGGTTGAATAAAATAAAGGATTATATATGTTTTTAATCCTTTAACTTTTGTCAATTTTTTTTTAGTCTCTAAACAATTTTTTTTTACTAATTTAAGTTCTTGAACTTTTATCAATTTTCACTTTTAGTCCTTGAACTTTTTCTCTGGTTAATATTTTGGTTCTTGATGTCAATTTTTTTTCAAAGAAAAAGATTTTAGAGATTAAAACCAAAAAAAAAATTATTAGGGATTAAAATGAAAATTGACAAAAGTTTAAAAACTAAACATTTAATTCTAAAATAAATTAATGAATACCTCAGCAGCCCGGTCAAAGAAAAAGGAGGCAACAAAAAGGTTCTTCTGTCCATCCCCCCCTCCACCATTCCATATCCCACCAAAAGTACACTTCATATGAGTACATGTTGACTCGTTAACTTTCAGAGCCTTAAGAGCAATACTTTTGCATTCATTCAAGCTTGCTCCAGAGGAGGAGGATGAAGCTTTATACGACTTTCCACCATATTTGTAGGATCCTAAGAAAAAATATTTAAGAATGGCTTGTTATCAGAAAAAAGACAGGAAGAAAAATATTTACAAAAAAGTTTAAAATTTCAAAGCTCTATTCCCCATGGACCAATGAAAGGTTAAACAAAACATAGAAGGAAGTATATTTACCATCATAGCCAGTTAAGATACAAGGGTTTTCAGCATCTTCAGAAACCTTTAAAATCTCAGCACGAGCAGCTAGTAAACCATAGTGCAAGTATCTGAAAGCAAGATGTAAAAATCTATCAGACAAGGAAACTAGTATTACAGAATATCTATTTGAACATGGAAATGGAATAGGAAATAAAAATGGACTAAAAGTGGAAGAACATAGAACCATGAGCTAATGCTCCAAGAGGCTGAAAAAGATGGAACATCATACTGATATATCAAGAGTAAGTAGCAAACCTGTGAACATAAAGGTGGTATTTCCTTCCCCTCAGGAACATCTCCTTGACATATGGGTCCTCCCCATCTACTACTTTTGGAGCCATGGCAGCATCTGTCTCTGAGATGGCATAAGCCATTTGAACAGATCCACCACCAAGATCAACTACTCCAACGGTCTTTGAATAATCTTTTCCCAAGTTTCCCAATAGATAGCAATTCACAAGGTAAGACAAACAAAATACTGTGCCAATTCTACAGAGAATACATATTACAACTAGTAAGCTATATTGATGCTGCCTTTAATTAATACTTTTGCAGCAAACATAATTGAATTTGGGATTTCTATTTGAAGAGGGTTCGAGCAATGCTTAGATTTTAGAGTTCTAAATAAATAATATTTTTTTGAAACATCTAAGCACAGTTGGATCAAGTCAAGTTTGACCAAATCTAGTACCTAAGCCAATCCAATCTCGACTCGCTTACACCCCTCGCTCATACCCTCTTCAAATAGAAATTCCCAAATTCAATTATGCTAAAATAAATTATATTAGAATAAACCTTAATTTGAAAAAAAAATAAATCATTAGGATAGAATTATAAACAAATCTTTGGAATCTAACAATAAGGCATAGGTATTATACAGAGGATATCCTTACCGTACAACCAAACAAAATACTACTAATTATTGAAACTAAACTGGTATTCATTGTACATTTACCTGCCGTGTGAATACAGAGTAGACTATATCAACAATTAAATACTATTGCCCATCTGGTACGAAGGTAAAATACTATGTACAACTCATTCTGTCAGAAAACCAATAATGACCTATATTATTGGTGAAGTATGTATTTGGATTTGTGTTCCTCTGATCATTTGTGGTAGAGTTCTCTACTAAGAAAATAAAGCAAATGCATTTTTTACAACTGTTTTTACTTATCTGATTGTTCTAGGAGAACCCCTTATCCTCCTTCGTTTCAGACTTTTTGATATAGTGGTGAGCAACTCAATAAACTTTGTCATATCAATTAACTACTAGCTCTGTAATGTAACCAATAGTGGGATCACGTTGTGCCTTTTCAGAAAAACACAATATCAAGCCCCTAACTGAAAGTTCAGGAATCAAAATCAAAGCCCAAACAGTGCACAGGACTAAAAAGTCCAATATAGTATTTTAAACTTCTGTGTAAGCAAGTTGGTTACAATTCCAGAATTTTTGCTGCTCAGAATGTTCCTTTGTGTAATATGATATAATGATAGCACTAAACTATTACCTGGTAATGCTATACCACAAACTTAATAAAATATATAGATAAACAGGATGTGTAAGAACATGGAGATAAACTACTTCTGAGCTAAACAACAACATCAAAGTCTTATCCCACTAGGTGAGAACTACTTCTGAGCGAACTTGTCTCAAAATTACCTTCATCAACATAATACTCCACTCAATAAAAGAAAGTTTGCTCACAATTGATCTTTCAACCCCACCTCCATTCCACTCAAAATAATGAATCAGAAACCAAAACATCATTATACATTATTCAAATCCCACAATCACTATAAGCCATCAACTAATCTAATCCACAATCTGATCTATGTTAACAAAAGCTAGTCAATTCTCTTATAGTCCCTGCGCAATCTGTTCTACTCTTTTAATTATACGATCTATGTCAGTAAAACATTGTTAATTCTCCCCTATCAGGATGCATTCTTGATGTGTAAATAGTGAATGGCAAAAAGGCCTAAAAAAATTTTAAGCAATAGCCAATTACAAACAACATTAAGTTCGTATACCATACCCATTGATAATCACCTTCTTGTGTTCCATCCAGCACTGTAACAGCATCAGCGTCGGATTTTAGGCTACTCCTGTCCTTAAGCAAATCCCTTACCTTAAATCAACAAAATTCAAAGCAACAAAAAGTTAAAACAAAAGAAATTGCACATAGCTGTTAAAACCATTGAAATAGAGAAAGACACTGCAGCAGTCACCGCTTGCAAGATCCTATCCGAGGTATCCCCTTCCAAAGCCTTCAAACACGCAGTTGCCTGCAATAGCACATGGATTCAGCTCAAATCTCCCTTCAGAGAAACCTTGACGTAAATTAACACGCACACCAATTCAGTAAACACAAACATAACAAAAATAAACCACCCACCCAAACTCGAACAGGTGTCTTGGATCGCAATTCACGAGGAACAACACTCTCCGCTTTATCCAAAAGCGAAACCAAAGATTCCGCTGCCTCTTGCGGATTTTGAGCGTACGCACTCAAACCCGGTTTAATCTACAAAATACAAACCTACACTATCAGACCAAAAACACAAGCAAATAAATAACTTAATAAACAAAAAGGGCACCAAAATACCTCCATGGTGTTTTATTCTATCAGTTATCTCCATCTAACCGATTGACAATCATGACACCCTTTTAAGACCTGGTGTTGGGGTGCAGGATAGGTTAAAGTCAAGCAAAGAAGCCTGATTCGGATCAAATAGTCTCGACTCTCGATGCTACTTGACTTATGGCCCTTGGGAAAATAGCATGTTTGCAAGGACTCTAACAACCCAAAGACCAAAAGCCAGAGGACATACTAGATCTTATGTCCCAGAAGCCAGAACCAAATACATGAAAATAAAAGATGCTCCATCATGCCCTACAGCATAAAAAAACTAATGGAAGCCCAACTCAAGGAGTCAAGGTGCATAGTCAGATTTTCATGCAGCTTCATAGGTAGTAATAAATTTCTTCGGTCAACGTATGTTAACTTCTTGTGTTTAATTTTACTTCCACAGTCGATTATACAATAATATGACCTTGCATTGCAAGCAACTATCAATTCAAATTTTTCTCTGCAATCAAAGGGATCACAGCAATGGCTTGAGTTTCTAGCTCCAGTTGTGGAATTTATACCGAACTCGTGAGGAAACACACAAGTACCTGAGTTCAGCTCTAGTATTTCAACATTCACACAGGTTAACTGCTAGTAAAGGAGCAATGACGTTTAGATCACTATAATCTAACAACAACTAGCAAACTTGGGTTGTTATGAATTGCACAAGCCTTGCAGCTCTTGTGATTAGTAAGTTGAAGTCTGGTTATAAACCAAGAATAGAGCATGCCATCCACTTATATACATTCAAATTTAAAAGGTATGCTGGCCAACAAGCATCATCTTCATAGATAAAGTACTAGTGTCATTGAAACTCTTGTCAAATAAGGATTTACTGCTCCCAAAAAGAAAAACCCCGTTCTCTTGTTACTCTTCTGGTCTCAGGTTCCTGAAGATAAGCTTTTTCCCTGTCAAATTTACTTGGTACGGCCTTCACTTTCTTTTTAAGAGTATCATTTTCCAGTTGATTAGGTTCTAAATCTGTCTCCTGGCCCTCTATTGCCGGTTTCCTAGAAACCCATGCCTGAAGCATTTCTTCAGTCTTTGGTTCAGGAAGGAAGCCTTTCTCTTGCATCTCTGCATAATATCTGTATGCTTGCTCCAACTTTCCATTGAGAAACAGCCCATGAATCAGTACTATATAAGAACTTCGATCATGGCTGATGCCATCTTCTCTCATTGCATCCCATATCTTGAATACATCATCAAGCTGGCGCCAGCGGCAAAACTTTCTTATCAACATTATATAAGTCTCAATGGTTGGGTAGCATCCCAGCTCTTTCATCTTGTCCAAGAGCTCAAATACTTCTTCCTTGGTCCTTAACATACGGAAGAAAGCATGAAAAGTTTGAATTGTCGGGGATAGGCGCCGCTCCAGCATCTCATCAAAAAGTTGTTTTGCTTCATCAACTTTGTGGGCCTTGCAGAGAGGCTTGATCAGGGAGTTGTAAGTAACAACATCTGGAGTTACATTGTTCTCTTCCATTGTTGCAATGATATTGGCAGCTTCTTTCACAAGCCTACCCTTTGCAAGAGCAAAAATGACTGCATTATAAACCTTCCTATCTGGAGTGATCTTCTTTTTCTTCATCTCATCAAACATCCTGAGCACCTTATAAAGTCTAGAAGATTTTGAATAGCAAGATATGATACTTGCATAGGAGACAACATCGTGTTGGATCCCTCTCTTGCACATCTCCTGCCATATTCTTTCTGCCTGAGAAACACTAACAATCAAATTACACCATCCATTCAGAATGATGTTAAAGCTTTTGATGTCAAGTGGGAATACATTCTTGTTGCAGAACAGTAAGTGTTCAGCATCTTGCACATTCTTATACCGACAAAGGGCAGAAAGAAGGCTTTGAAATTCCTCTAGCCCAACATGAAAGTTAAACTGTTTATAAGCATAGAAAGTATTGATAGCTCTTGCAACATCATGTACAGCACAGTATCTCCTGATCATAATCAACAAGGTTTGAGGAGTGACAAGAGATGGACCAGTTCTACCTCCTCTCATTTCCTCAATTAATGTCCAAGCAGTATCAAACTTCCTCATCTTGCCAAGGATAGAGATCATAGAATGGTACTCGCGAACCGAATGAACATACCCAGGTTGCTTGCCAGCCCACAAGAAAAATGTGAAAGCTGCTTCCCAATCATTGCGAGTTCTCGAAAGGACCTCCACAACCACCTCTGATGATAGCACAACACTGCAATGCTCAAGCTTGTGCTTAATTTGAGATGGTCCAGAACCCACTTCATGCATTATATCCAAAATGGTTTTAACATCTTGGGCAATAGCGTCATCCCTTAAATGTAGTTTTTTTTTGCCATGACCATCATCCTCATCCTCATCCCCATCATTATCATCATCATCATCACTCAAGTCCTCATGTGCAGGGGCATCAGTTACCACCCCAAGGCTTCTGGTTGAAGATGAAGCAGAGAAGTGCCTAACTGAGAAACCAAATTTTGGTAGTGCAAAGAAAGTTTCAGACTTAAAAGGGTTATAGAAATTGAAAATAGCACTCATAACGGGCTCCTCTACTACATGACAGTGATTAAACGCGAGTGAGTTATGGCCGATGCGTGATAGCACAACAGAGAAAACGGGTAAGTTAGATCTGATTCTGATCATGATTGACAATAAGCAATGCACACTTCAGTCTATCGAAAGCTGATAGAGCGTCAAAATAAGATAGCCCAAATTTCCTAGGTTAACGTTGAGCGAAAGGTGTTTGTGAAAATGACCAAGAGAAACTCAAAGCTAACATTACTCGTAAATCAAAAGTCTAGACGTTAAGCAAGAAAGTGAGGAAACGAAACACGATTCTACTGATCAAAGTTGGGTCACTCCTTGTTCCTTGTCTGTTGAGAAGTTTTTGTTGATGTATACGGGGCAACCTAAAGAATGGAGCATTTTAGATTGGGCCCAATTGAGGTGACAAAAGAATCTATTTCTCAAAAACCCATTCAGTTCATATATGTAAAATTTAATTTAATTTGTTTAATTATTTTGATAAAAAAAACTATTTGAATCAAAATAAATGAATTATATAATTAAATGAATGAATAATAGTTTATCCATTTTATTTTAAATTCAATAGATTATTTAATTAAAATTTTGTGGATTTAATGGATTATTGTCGACTATAAACTAAATAAAATTTGTCTAATTCATCTATTTGAGCATATTAAAATTGACCATCTCTTTACAACCATTAGATATGGAGGGAAAAGAACACGTTTGTTTTAAAGTTATCTAGAATTAATTTCTATAGAAATAATTTTAAATTATTAAATATAATTGATATATGTGCCTAAATTAATCTTAATCACACATTTTACATTGAAACGTTACTTAGCATGAGAAATTAATTCGTGAAGCAGAATAAAAAACAGGTCCAAATTCAAATTATCTGTTCAGCAAATATTAAGTATAATTTTATATTTACAAATTTATTCATAAAATATTGATCGCTGATGTTGAAAATATTGTCGTTGTGCAAATTTCTTACTTTCATAGCACTAGACCGTTTCCTTTTTTATTACATTTTCCAACAAAAATAAGGTCAATAAGTCAATTTAGATTAATTTCATGTAGTCTAATGTAGGTTGCTTGTTATAGAATAGAATACCATAAAACCAAGATCCTATTGGAGCACGAAAAATATAAACCCCGTGAAAGCTTAAATTGTATAACAATCAACAGTTCATTATTTTCTTTTGTCAATATCTTCTCATCATAAATAAATGTAATAAATAATGTGTAGGTAGAAGTAAAAACAAATTAGTATTCTACAAATTGTTGAAAATCTATATTTTTCCCGTACTTAATTGCGTTTAACATTATTGTCTTACAAAAGTCTTAATAAAGCACTTATAATTAAAAACTCTCATAAATTAAAACCTAATCTAAGGTAAATCAAGTTTTGCAGAGTTGAGAATGAAAATTTTATGAAGTCAAAATATAACTTAAACTTAATAAATAAGGATTTAATCTATTAAATAATATTTTAAAAAAACATTAGGATCAATCCATCATGTAACGACCTGTCATGGTCTCTACACTTAGTGGAATCGCACTACTGCTAGTGAGACTAAGAGAAATATTAAACTGGATAACTCATATATACATATACAAATAAAAATGAAAATAACTAAGTTTCTGGTTATAAAATAGAACTTCATATATGTACAGTCATCCCAAAAATAATATTCCCTAGTGTCGGTCAAGCACAGACAAAACCGTTACCCAAAATGGTAACTCTAACACGAGGATCAAAACTCCCCGTCTCGCAGCAGACACCTCAACTCCAAGCTAGCCCTGACCTGCTCCCATACCAAGTATGATCATCGTAGTTCCACCACATGGAAACAGAAGGGTAAGCTAGAGTTCAAAACCAATCATACAAGTACAAAATAAAATTTATACTACACATCATCCAACTATCAATCATATTCATAGAGTCACACCACACTCTATCCAATACTACTCATGCATAAAATACAATCCACCAATCATGAAGTCAAACACCACACTTCATCATATTAATAATCATGCAATAAATGCATCTCATGACAGATATCAATGCATATCAATCATCTAATGCGTCGTCACGCATACACCTAGGAGATCTCCATAATAATAGAGCTGTATAAGTGACATCCCATCCTATCGAAACCACCCCAACCGTTTTCACGCCCAATGCGCCCGCTCGGTCACAGCTAAACAGGATATATAATCCTCCCTCGGGTTTACTCGGATGATGTCACTTACACAATTGGAAGTCCAGATCCACCGTCAGGTATAGCACAGCTGGGTACGGGCTTACCACGACCTTGGCATGCATAACCAAGTCAATTGTGGAGTTCGCCCATCGAATATTCGCAAGGATCCACGCACCTTCCCGAGTACTTGGTTAAGGGAATAACCCTCGACCTCATACCCCGCTCCAACACTAGCTAAGGACTTAGAGGAGACTCACCCAACCCAGTGACCTATCTGAGCACCACTCTCCTATATCTAGTGGCCTCCCTGAGCACCACTCTCATATATCAATGGCCTATCCAAGCACCACTCTCAAGAGACTCTATGTGAGCTCTTCCAGTTCGAAAATATTTTTCCTCTCCTCAAGTCCTAGGCTAGACTCATGCCATAAGGCATCACATGCAATCATGCATCATACATCATAATGGTCTGCCCACCATCATGATCAACAACCATACACATGTCATAAGACATCACATGCAATAATGCATCACACATCATAAATAGTCTACCCACCATTATGATCAATAAACATACTCATATGAACATATACACATGTCATATCATATTCAAACAATCATACGTATCAACACAAAGCATACATATGAATCACACCTCACCATACATCATATATCATACATACATGATCTAAAACTTCAACTTTAAACATGCATAAGCATCAATTTAAAACAATTATATATAAACATATTCACGTTCGGCGCAATCAACTCGCGCCTGGCCTAACACCAACCCGAGAGTTCTAAGCTCTTCCACGCCGACGCGCTCAACCTGCGCCCGACCTAAATCCCAATCAGAGAGTTCAAAACTCTCATCCAAACCAACAAATCCAGCCACATGCAAACACAAAAACACAATGCATAGGCTCCATACAACTTAAATAAGCTTAGATCTCACATGCATCCAACCTATGCATCAAAATCATCAAAATCCTCATTTTTCTCAAAACCCCAAAAATGAGATTTTCTTCAATCCATCTATGGATTCTTAACATTCATGCACCTAATGAGTTTCTAAACTCACATGCAACCTAAATAACAAACATTCTAGCTTCCCTCACCTGAAGATTGGCTCAAAATAGCCAAAAACTGACAAGAAGTAGAATTCCCCTTCGTAGCTCAACGCGGAACTTCAATCTACCCAAAACAAGCTTTCTAATATGAATTTCAAGAAAAGACAGAAGGCATTAGTGGTCTAGAGGAGAAAAGGAATCATACAGGGAAATTTAGGAGAGAAAGGAGCTCACAGACCCAGAGACCTTCTCTCTAAAACTTCTCTCTAAAAACTCACATTCTCCTCACGGCCCACAACTCCTATTTATAGGTATTCCGGAGTGGCTAGAACGGCCTGTACTGAAACCGGAACGACCCGTTCTGTACTGCTTCGTCATGTGCAAAAACTACATGTAGAACGGCCCAACTTTCCTCTAAAAACTCACATGCTCCTCACTGCCCACAACCCCTATTTATAGACATTCTGGAGTGGCCCATTCTGGGACTCATCCAGAGCGGCTCATTCTCCATCCAGAACGGCCCGTTCTCATCTAGAACGGTCCGTTCTCCAACTAGAACGACCGTTCTCCCTCTAGAATGACCCGTTCTCAACTACAATTTACAGGTCAATTTAATAGCTTGGAACGGCCCGTTCCAGATTGGGAACGGCCCGTTCTGGGCTACTAAATCACCTATATTGGACTTTTTGTAAAACAACTTGCTACGTTACAATACCCCCCAATAAATAGGAATTTTCGTCCCCGAAAATAGGCTTACCTGAAAAGAGGAATGGATACTGTTCCCTTGAACTAACTCTCCACCTCCCAGGTAACCTCACCAGTAGCTGCATCCCAAACAATCCTCACCAAGCTGATGGACTTGCCACGAAGCTCCTTCAACTTGTGATCAACCACAGCTACTAGTCTCTTCTCATAGGTCAAGTTCTCTCTAACTTGCACCTCATCCATCTCTACCACTTGACTTAGGTCTTTGATGTACTTCTTCAACTATAAAACATGAAACACATGTTCTCCCTCTTCAAACTCTAGAGGTTTCCTCCTCCTATCAGCTAGGTCTTTTGTCGACTCTGGGTAGCCCTCAACCTTTCTTGAATCTATCTCACCATCTCAGTAGTCTAAAGAACTAACTCTGGACCAACCACTACTGACTCACCCTTCTGATACCAACATAATGGAGTCCTACACCTTCTACCATACAAAGCCTCAAAAGGCGTCATGCCAATGCTCTAGTGATAACTTTTATCATAGGTGAACTCTACCAATGGTAACACCTCCTCCCAGCTACCCAGATAATCCAACACAAACTCTCAAGAGATCCTCCAATGACTGAACTGTACTCTCCGACTGACCATCTGTCTGTGGATGATAAGTAGAGCTCAACCTCAACCTCGTCCCCAAAGCCTGATGCAGAGTCTACCAACCTAGAAATAAACCTTCGATCTCTGTCAGAGATAATACTGGAAGGCACTCCATGCAACCGTACTATCTCTCTAATATACAAAGGGGCAAGCCTCTCCAAGGACCACCTCTTGACAGGAAGAAAGTACGCACACCTTGTCAACCTATCAACAATCACCCAGATAGAGTCTCTGTTCCTAGCTGTCCTAGGCAACCCAACCACAAAGTCCATAGTGACACTATCACACTTCTACTCGGGAATCTCCATCTGCACTAAGCTCAAAGCACTAAGCTCAAAACCAGCTACCCTCTCAGTACCAAGCAATCCCAAAATTCTCAACAACTCTAGATCCTGTAATTGCTTAGTTCCCACCTGTCTCAAGAACTCATTAATTATGGTGATCATACCGCAACTAATGTGATCTTGAACAACCTCCACCTCTAGTCTCAAATCTCTGAACTATTCAATCAGTTCCAACTCCCTAATCATCATAACCGACACATGAATGGATTTCCTACCCAATCATCTACTACCACACTCTCACCTTCCCAGGATGATACATCAACTGGAAATCAAAGTCCTTTAGGAATTCCATCCACCTTCTCTGGCTCATATTCAACTCCTTTTGATCACTAAATACACTGAATCTCGCACCATACAGATAGTGCCTCCACGACTTCAAGGCAAACACCACAGCTGCAAGCTCCAAATCATGAGTTGGATAATTTCTTTCATG